TGTGTGGGTGGATGAATGGACGGAGAAGGGCGGGTGGAATATGGAAGAATAGCAGGACAGATGGATAAATGATGGATAGTAGAAGATGAATGATGGATGGACAGGTAGAAGGCTGGATGGCTGGACAGATGGACAGAAGGAAAGGTGGGTGGAGAGAAGGATGGATAGATGAATGAAGAGGAGAAAGGACCGCAGGACAGGCAGAAGGACGGGTGAGTGGGAGGAAGGAGGAGTGACTGGACAGATGGAGGGAAGAAGGGAAGAGAGGCGGACAGGACGAACTCACTCGCAGACGAGAACCCACACTGTAGAAACACAGCCCCGACCCCGGCCTATTTCTCCCTACAGTGTCCGTCCCGGCTTCTCCCTTCCAGGAGCTAGAACTCTGTGAGTCTGTGTTGGACCCATGGCCACCCACCTAGAGAGCACCCCACTAGATTGCCCAGCTGAGGGGTGTCCTCAGAGGACGTCGTAGAGGATGTGCACAACTTCCAGGTCATGTCCTTCAAAGGCAGCTGCATGACAGCAGATGTGACCTCCCCATGCTGTCATGCAGGTGTGACCTCCTGCGCTGTCATGCAGGTGTGACCTCCTGTGCTGTCATGCAGGTGTGACCTCCTGCGCTGTCATGCAGGTGTGACCTCCCGTGTTGTCATGCAGGTGTGACCTCCTGTGCTGTCATGCAGGTGTAACAGTGTGAGGGCATCCAGAGGAGGGTGTACGATAAAGGAACAAGACGAGGGAGCCGGGAGCAAGGCCAGCTTTACCTGGCACACCCACCACCCCACCACCTGGACCACTCCAGGAGGGGAGCTGTCCTCTGGCCTCCTCAGGCCACTGCTCTCTGCCTCATTGACCATTTCTGCTGTGGGTGCCAGCAAGCCAGCAGGTATAAGTGCCACACAGGGCTTTCTAGGGCAGACCTCATGGAACAGGCCACTGGCCCTTCTGCAGAGCCCAGAGAAGTCTGCATCACAAGCTTTCAGGTAACGGCCAAGTGCTTAACCACAGGGTCCCTCCTAGTTAAAGCCCAACCCTCGTGAATAAAGCAGTGAATCTGTCCTTAAACACTCCCTGGGGTCTTTCCATGTTCTCCATCAAAGCCCCCCTCAGTCATTGGTCAGATTTCCTCAGCATTCACATGTATGAAACCCTATTTTCTCTTCTTCTCACTAACCTCCGTGGTTTCCCCGGAAGAAGGGAACTGCTGAGATCTGTAATTTGAGAAGGAGCCCTGGTGACATTTATCTACAAACAAGCACTTCTGTCTGCAAGGTCACAGAGTATGCACAGTCCCTGAGGGGTGTGTTCTAACGTGACTAGAGAAGATGCCTGCCAGCCCTGCCCTGGGCGATTCAGGGACCCCGCATGTGTCACAGTCGACCTCTGACCTCCATCCCACAGTAGTTCAAACCCCCAGCCTCTCCTCCAGGGCATCCAAGGCCTTCCAGGCACCCCTCCAGGGTCCAGGGCCTCCTGGTCACTTCTCCAGAGCCCAGTGCCTCCTAGTCCCTTCTCCAGGGTCCAGGGTCTCCTGGCCACTCCTCCAGGGTCCAGTGCCTCCCGGCTGCCCCTCCAGGGTCCAGGGCCTCCCGGCTACTCCTCCAGAGCCCAGGGCCTCCCAGCTGCCCCTCCAGGGTCCAGGGCCTCCCAGCTGTTCCTCCGGGGTCCAGGGCCCCCATGACTGAGAGCTGACTGGACAGCAGCTCTGTGTTCTGTTTGGTTCTGGTCTCCGGCTCTCTATAGCAGAGGCCTTGGACACAGCTGCTCGTGGTGTTCAAACCAGCACCTTTTCCATTAGCAGGTTCCTGAACACGCATCGCCATCAATCCAGGACCACCTCACGGCAGACCCTCCACCGCTGTCCGGGGCTGCAAACCTCACAGAAGAAGGTGGACCTTCTCTCTCCTGAGCAGCAGATGGTGGAGTTGAACTCCCAGAGGCCCGGCCGTCAGCTTAGCAGCTCAGCGCCCTACAGACTGCGCCACAGCACCCCCTCTGGACCCTTTCAGAGTACCTACGAAACCAAACCTGCTGTCGAAGCCATTCTGACTCACAGTGACCCCACGGAACCAACCCCACCGAACAACTCCACAGAACCAACCCCATGGAACGAACCCCACGGAACAAGCCCCACGGGAATGAATCCCACAGAACAACTCCATGGAACAACCCCACGGAACCAACCCCACGGCACGAGCCCCATGGAACCAACTCCACGGAACGAGCACCACAGAACAAACCCCTCAGAACGAAGCAGAACCACCCCCGGGGCTTCCGAGCTGTGGTCCGACAGAAGCGGACAGCTACATCCTGCTCCTGCTGAGAAGCTGATGGGTTTGAACATCCACCCTTTGGGCTGGCAGCCGAGCTCTGTGCCAGCAGGGGCCCCTTAAGTTTAAAAACCTCACTGCTGGAGAGTTAATTTCAAGTCACAGCGACCCTTCATCATGTTCTGAGACAAGAAAACTCTACGGGAGGAAGGTGCCTCATGTCTCCCACGAGGAGCAGGAGGTGGGTGTGAACTGCTGACCTTCCAGTCACACGTCATACACATACGTCACACCCTGCACACACATCACACCCTGCGCACACGTCACACCCTGCACACACGTCACACCCTGCACACACATCACACCCTGCACACACGTCACACCCTGCACACACGTCACACCCTGCACACATCACACCCTACACAGCCTGGGCTCCCAGCTCAGTGCAGAAATGGAGAGCTTCTCCTCACCACCCTCACGTACACACGCCCACACACGCACATGCCCACGTCAAGCATTAGGAACACCTTCCTGCAAGCTTGGCTTCTCCCCCTCCTCCTCAGACACGACATTATAAATCACCTCCCAAAGTTCTCCTCGTGGCACCCAATTAAAGAACAGATTAAGGGAAGGGCCGCACGAGGGTTAATGAGAATGTTATTTCAACGTGGAAATTGGCTTGGAACTTTGTTACCCAAATTCTGAACATTAATTATCCAGGATATTTTAAGACCTGTGCTTGAAAGGTGCTTTCTTCTGATGTATTGATCAGACTTTATGATAGGAGGCGGATAGAACCCCAACCGCGGGCCTCTAGCTGGTGTCCTCAGGGAGATGCTGTGGCCGCTGCAGGACTGCCCAGCCAGAACCCGCACCAGGGCGTCCGCTCACCGTCCTCGCGGGGAGAGGCTGCTCACGACCCACCTCTGAGCCGCGGGTCGTCAGCAGTCAAGAGCTTTAACCTCTGTGCCACCAGTGCCCCTTAAAACTACGAGACCCTCTTCACTCCCACTGCCTCTGGGGTCTCTGACTCAGACACCAGGGGCATCTGGTGGATTTGAACTGCTGACCTTCATGGCACAACACGTAACACACCCCACCACCAGAGTTCTTTTCAAAACCATGAGAGATACAGTTACAAAATTCTCAAATTTAAAAAATCCACAATTTGGAATATGATGCCACTAACATTTAGATATTAATGAGAATATTTTAAGCAACAAATACCAAAAACCCAAGCCACCATTTCCATCAAGTGAATTGTGACCCAGGCCGACCTGCAGGGCTGGGCAGAACGCCCCCAGCGTCCCAAGGTGGTGTCCCTGGGGGGCCAGCTTCTTCATCTGGCGTGGGTGGAGGGTTCAATCACCCTTCGGTCAGCCACCAAGCATTTAACCACTGTTACTTCCTCTTATCCAATAAACACCCAAAAAAAACCGCAAACCTACCTACAGCTGTGATGTCAATCCTGCCTCACGGTGAAATCCCAGCGGGCTCCAACACTGTAAATCTATTTACTTTAAACCTTTTTATTGTGATTTAAGTGAGTTTCCAAACGATGCTGGTTTTCCCTCATCCATACAGTTCATTTGGAGCACTAATCAATTCCTGCACACACCAGCCCGGTCACCCCTCCTGTGCACGGCCATCCCCACCCATCCTACTACGTGTCTATGATTTTACTTCTCACCCCGCCCCTCCCAGCAACCATCCAAGAACGAGGCCACCCGTGTCTGTGTGGAAACCGCCTGTTATCCTTTTAATAAGAGTGGTCCTCACAATGTTCGTCCTTTAAGGACTGACCGCCTTCATTCAGCATAACATCCTCCAGACCGCCCAGGTCATAAAGTGCATCACTGGAACATTATCCACCATAACAGACAGAAACAACCCAAGCGCCCATCAATGGCCAAATGAGCAAAGAAATGATGGTACATGTAAACAGTGGAATGTGTGCAGCATTTAACAGCTGTAAATCCCAGCACGAGCAGACAGCCTCCTAGCTTTCTCCACTGAAGCAGCTGGTAGATTCGAACTGTCAACCTTTTGGTTTGTAGACCAATACACAATACACTACGTCACCAGGACTCCTACACAACAAATAAATACAAAACACTCAAAGCCACCGAGTCAGTTCAACTCACAGCAACCCCAACTTGAATTTCTAAGGCTGTAAATCTTAATGGGAGGAGAACTGCCCATCTTTCTCCAAGGGGCCTCTGGTGGATTCAGTCTGTTGGAGATTCACAGTCATTTTGGTTAACAGCACACACGGCAACAGTCAGTAACAGACAACAAGAGTTACAGGAGTTCTCCATCTAAACGACATGATCCCCGACAGACTGAGAGCTCTGGAAACAGAAGCCCGGTTAAGGAAAAGCACCCCAACCTACCCGGCTGAGATCGGGGGGACAGAAGCCGGGTTAGGGCAAGCACCCCAACCTACCTGGCTGAGATCGGGGAGACAGAAGCCCGGTTAAGGCTGAGCGCCCCAACCTACCCGGCTGAGATC